CGATCCATGCGTTTTTTATGGTAAAACTACAGGAGTGGTTTACTATTGCTTTTCTCCCACCCAGTGTGAATGGATGCCGTTGCCACTAAAGTCATCTTCCTATATTTCTGCTGCCCCATGCTGACCGTCATAACTTGGGTGAGCTTGCTGGGATTAGATTTCTACTTTCTTGGCACACACTCTCGGCATTCTTTACTCATCCCTTCTAGGCACAATCCCACCTGCCACGAGGAAGCAGGACGTGGAGGGACTCATGCAGGACCCTAACAATAATTCATTTAAACATAATGGTTGTTATTACACTACAGTAATGATATCTAAGCTTTCTTTAGATTACAGGACTAGTGAATTATTGTGGAAAATAAAAAGTAAGGGCAAAGTATAGGATGGAGCACAAGACAGAACATAACATTTTGGGGTCTATTTAATATGCTGGCAGTCAGTAACAGATTGGTTTATATGCAGTTTTCTTGGTCACAGTGCAAAAGTGATTGGCAATTGCCTTCTTCCAGGTTGGTTCTTTTTTCTTTTCTTTTCTTTTCTTTTCTTTTCTTTTCTTTTCTTTTCTTTTCTTTTCTTTTCTTTTCTTTTCTTTCAAACTATAGAGTCTAGCCTACAATCCTAGATTTCCTAAGGTCCAATCCAAGTTCACTAAATCTAGCTATGCATAACTTTTTTGCAGACTCAGCCAATGTCACTTAGACTGCAGCACTATATTCATCAAGAACGGGCAAAAGCATCTACTCAGAAATAAGGTGCAATTTCCACTTTATCCGTAAGATATTGATAGGAGTGGGGAATGTGCGCCCAAATCTAAGTCAGGCCGGATTTATAAAGCCAAGTCTGCGGTGTCTACAACATGCACGTATAAACGGGATGGAGCTTCAATGAGGATGTCATGCCATTCATCTTGCAGATTTTGACCCCTCCCCAAGATGCTGTTGCCCATAAGCCAATTCTCCTGATAAGCATAAACGCAGGACAAGGAAACCTTTGGCCAACATTTCCCCAGCAGGAAAAAGAAAAAAAAAGCAGCCAAGACTTACGAGATTTTTGAATTCGGTCTCACTAATAAATTAATCTGCAACTTTTTGGCAAAGTGCATGGTAAATCCTGTGGTCTAAAATGAAACAAATACAGTGAACATTGGGGGAAGGGGGAATAATAAAAGATTAGCAGCATTAAAGAGAAAAAAAATGTATTCAGGTGCTAGATTTAAAGGGTTTTTACCAGCATTGGACAAGGTGGACTCTTGGTACCCAAGATGTCTTAGCTATACTACTACTATTCAGTGACTTCCTTGCAGTTACTTTAAACTGGATCAAATTTATCAAATCTGAGATGTATATTTGCTTTCAAGGTTAGTGTTGCACCTTTTAAATGTGCTCAGAATAAGGAGGGGGGAAAAATAAACCAACCCCCCCCCCTTGAAGTACAGACTGACGGGCTCTTGAAATTCTTTATCCAATCTCTGGACAACGAACTAGGAGAAAGCTTTTCACTTTGGTGCAGGAACCCAAAAATTCACTCCAAGGGTCACATTCTATGACAGAGACAACCTGCATATGGATTTGATTCATATCAAATCCATGATCTTGGAGCTGGTACCACATGTAGTCACGTACCGGTTCTACATCCAGAAAGGTTGTATGCTCTTCCACATTTGGCTTCATTCCTTCAATGTATTGAAAAAGTTGTTTACTCCCATGCAGGAAATGGGGC